CAGGCTCCATTGGACAACAGTCCTATTAAACTCCCTCTTCTGCATAAAAAGACACACACTTCAAGGTCAAGGTGGCCTTATGCACTTATTAAATTAACTGAAATAAGGGGAATTGAAGAATCAGAGCTGGTCATACAGCCTCCCACGGCGTGTGCAGGATGACACTAGCTCTGAACCCTGAGTCCTCGCTCAGGTAGCCCAAGAGAACTGTCCCAAAGGACACAGCAGGGGGCCGGCAGTGCTCACACCTGGCAGGTATAATCCCCGCAGCCCACGAGGCGCTTGCTGTCCCTCTCAACCAGCTCAGGAGGCCAGGGTTGCCGCCCCAATTTTACAGGGAGGAAGTTGAGTTCCAAGGTCACCCTGTTGGAAGGCACCCCAACACCAGCACCAGAGGCAGGCGCAGGCTCTGCTGGTGCTCCTCCTACCAGCCCCGCCACATCCGCTGTTTGGTAAATACAGTTTGCAGGAGGCAGGGAGGGATTTTGATTTTGAAATTGCACTGGCTGGATCTGGGGGCCCGGGGTCTGAGCAGGCCAGGAGGACGACAATTAATGACTAGGATCCTGCTTCGAGGCCGGGCGAGGGCCCAGCTGGGGCCGGGTGTTTACACGCGTGCTTGTCTGTTTGGGGCCTGCAAATCCGTGTCAGATGTTAATGGAACAGCGTCATTTTTCTGCAGAGGTGGCATCCCCGGGTTGTTTGGATGAGGCGACCGGCTGGACTCAGACTGGGCGGTGGGCGGATCACCAGGGAGGCCAGGGCTTTACTGAAGGCCATTTGTCAGGCCAAAGACAGCCGCCCCGGCTCCCCTCCTGCAGCCCAGCCCCTCCACCCTGCGTCCCCCGCCCCAAGCCTCCCCTCTTCACTGGCTCTGAGGATGAAAGTCTGTGAATTGTGAAAACATCAAAAGGATTCACTCCAAAATAGCAGGAAACTGAAACTGGAAATGAGTAAATGCATAAGGAAGCGCCAGGAGGGGTCCTCTGCCGGGGTTGGGGCCCGCACCCTGGAGACCTGGGGCGCAGCCTCCACCTGCTCCTCACACCTGCTGGGGACACATGCACCACAGAAGCTCCCCGGGGGCCTGGCCGCCTGAGGCAGGCCCGCGTCCTGCACCCTGGACTCCTGTGCAGACAGTTCCCTGGGCCATCAGGACGTAAGAGCTGCAAGGTCAAAGGGAGGGCAGGATGAGGACGCCCTTCCCTCCCGCCCAGGGGCAGAGGTTCCCGCCTCTGGGGCAGGTACAGAGGAGCTGGGCCTGGAGCATCCCTCTGTCAGGTCAAGGCCATCATCCTACTCTTCACAAGAGGAAGTTGAGGCTGCCACTCAGACCACACAGCCAGGCCAGGTGAGGGCCTGTCAAGGGCTCCAGAGGACCAGGCCTCTCACTCTGACCCCACCAGCTCTCAACCCACATTCTACACTCCCACTGCCTCCTGTTACTCCTCAGCAAGCTCGTTCCTGCCCCAGGGCCTTTGCGCAGGCTGTTCCTCCTACCAAACACTCTTCCCTCTAGGGTCTCAGGGTTCTCTCTGCTCAAAGACCACCTCCTGAGACAGTCCTCCCGGTCCAGACAGGCGGACACATGCCCAGCCCCTGTCTCCTCTGTGGATCTGAGTTTGGGGAGCACAGTAAGTGGTCGGAGAGCCATGTGAAAGCTTGTAGTGCCCTTCCCAGGACCCAGTAGGGCTCAGGAATGCGACCGCTGGGACCACAGAAACAGGACACTCAAGAGTCTTTACCGCTGGCGCCCAGGGCTTCACTCTGAACGCTTGTCCCCTCAGGTCCATGGGAATTGGGAGGAAGGAGACTTTGTGCAGGACGGAGGGCACACGGCTGGGATTTGAGAATCAGCACTGTGTCTTCCCTAAGCCTGGGCCGTGAGTGCTCTGTCTCCCTCCCTCACTCCTAGGCAGCCTCCTCTTCTCGGGGACAAGGAGGGCAGAGGCCCCCAGCTGCTGTGAATCCCAGCTGAGCTCTGCCTCAGTGTCTCCATCTGCAATCAGGCTCCTCCTCAGAACTGTGCAGCACCCGGGGCGGGCACCCTGCAGCCTTCCCCAGAGGGCCACGCTTGTCCCCGGATCTGGGTGTCTGCCCTCCTGGCTACCACCTATGGCAGGGTCTCTCTCAAAAGCTGATCCATGTGTACTTAAATCCTGCTCCACCAGCTGTGAGACCCCGTGCCTCAGTTTCCCTGGCAGTAAGCAGAGGTACTCCTGGGCCCTCCCTCAGAGGGCCTGCACGCGAGGCCATACTGGTGCTTAAAAGTTGGTGACTAAACCCAGATGAATTTTGCCGTCTGCTTCCCAGCACTCACGGCATGCTTGTAATTCTGTTTCCTGAGTTACAGTCCCCTGGCTCCCACAAGCCCCCTGAGCCCCGTGGGGCCCCCAGCCCCAGGCACTAAGTAACCTAGGGCCCCGCTCCTCCTGTTCCCGGCCCTGCCCTGCCCCCTGGTGTTCATTCTGGGCATTGCCCCTGACTCCTGCTTTGGACCCTTCCCTCCCCACAGCAGGTTCAGGGACAGGCCCTGGGTCCAGCAGGGACAGGCCCTGGGTCCAGCAGGGCCCACAGACCTGAGCACTGGGACAGGCAGGACGGTGCAGACACACTGAGCTCCCCACGAGGCATGGAGAAGATGGACATATGGCAAATGGACAGGGGAGCCCCTTGCAGTGCCCACCTGCCACTCCATCTTCTCACAAATCGTGGGGTCCCCAGGGCCACTGTACATGTGGGCCCATGGGCCTGCTCTAAGTGGGCTCCAGACCCTCCCTCGATTCCTCCTGTGGGGCTGTCTGACCAACCTGGGGCCTGGCACCTGCCTCGGAGAGCATCTTCACATCCCCCTGGTCTGCTCGGGAGCCTTCCCTGCGGTCCCTTCCTACCCTGCCTGGCCACGCACTCTGCATGGGACAGGGACCAGGGACAGCATAGGTCCAGCTCTGCTCAGGGTAGCTGGCGCCTGCTCTGAGCCTCGGTGGACTCCTCAGCAAAAATGTGCTAGTGAAACCCCTCCCTCCCTGCCCAGTGGACCTGGAGGACCCAGCCGTGCACCCTGTGGCCCCCAACCCAACAGGATGGTCAGAGCCAGCTGCTAGGCCACCCACCATGAAGGGCCTGAGAAATGATGACAATCAGGGTCACTTCCAGAGCACCACAATCCTGCCCGCAGAGGGGCTCCCCGCGTCTCCCTAGTATGCTGTGCTGGGAGGCCTGAGGACAGGCGGGCCGGCTGCGAGGATGGGGGTCTCGGTTCTCTTGCTCAGTGTGCTGTGAACACTCCCTGCTTGAAGACACAGCTCGGGTTTGGATCCTCTGGCCTTGAGGGGCCGTTGCCATCCTGAGCTGTGCCCACTGAGGGCAGGGGGGCAGTCCCCGAGGCAGAACTGGGGCTCCTCATTGTGGCTCATGGAAGCAAATGAGGAGAGTGAGTGAAGGTCTCCTCTGGGGGGTCCCCATCCTCCCCTGTGGAGAGAGGGGCCTGGCTACGGGGTTCCATGTATCCGTCCACCTGTGCCTTGAACCCCCAGCCTTACTGTCAGGGGCCTGTTGTCACCAACCCGGAGGTTGGGGGAGGAGCATCAGGTTCAGGAGGGCCTGTGTCCCCTGCTGCAGGCACAGGCTCAGAGACCCTCCTCCAGGGTCCACGAACACACAGGGCGCCTGGCACAGAGCGAGGGCCAACACATGGCCCAGGCCTCCCAACAGGCCAGGGTAGTGCAAGATGGCACCGGGTCCCCGGGAGATGCTGGGTGGCCTCTGGAAGCTCCTCCCGAGGCCCAGGATCGCCAGATCTCTGACAATCCTGACGGCATTTAGGGTGGTGGTCGGCCAGCACCCAGGCATCTCAGCTGCAAGAACACGGGGCTGGGCCCCAGGTTGGGGGCGTTCAGAACCCCACCTGGAGGAGACGCACAGAGCAGCCCAGGGCTGGGCACTGTCCCCAAGAGCATGGGCACTGCTGAGAGAGCTCCAGGCCAGCCCCTGGCTGGGGTGCGAGGCCACCTCCATCTCATTGGGGGCCAGGCCATTAGCATCCATGAGGATCCCAGGTGCTGGCGGCTCAGCACGGCCCAGGGCACCACCTTGTGACAGCCCAGCCCCTGCCCCACCCTGCAGCCCAGAGGGCCCAAAGACACCCCTGGGGGCTCAGCTCAGGATGGGTCATCTTCCCGGAGCTTCCAGCAGGGACTCACGCCAGGCTGTGGGTTACAGCCGCCAGCCACCTCCTGGGTATGGTTGGGGTCCGCCACAGCAAGACTGTCTGCTGGGGTCTCCCTTGGGGACATCTGCTGTATGTTTGCTTAGGGTGTTAGTAAATAGGGCTCATCTTTGTTCAGTGACCTACAACCTGGTGGCCTTGGGCGACCTTGGCCAATTTCGCGCATCTCCAGCTGCTTATCTGAGGTTGGTGCCTCCCGTCACCGGAGACCCCCGGTGCCCATGTGGCTGGGGCCTGCACAAGGGCTTGCTAGTGGGGCAAGGCTACTCCTCAGCTGTCCCCGGGACCCTTGGGACTGTCTCACCCGTCGTCTTCGGCATGGTCATCGGCCCCCACCCAGGAAACTCGCCCTAAACCAAGCATCACCTACCCCCCGGCAGCCCTGCCCGCCAGTGCCATGGACGGACACCTAGTGCGCATGATGGGCACCCTCCTGTCCTGTCCTGTCAGCAAGCCTGTCACGGACAGGGCCTTTCCGCTGGTTTCTTGTGAATGAGGCCTACTGAGGTGGGTCCTTGCCCCTGTGCTGACCATCTCACACACCCCAGAACCCAGGTGGCACGCGAGGTCCTCCAAGCCCTCAGATTTCAAAGGCCGCCACCCCAGGGTCCTCTAGGATCTCTCCTGTCCTTTCCTGCCAGCGAGCTTGGGGCGCTGTGGCTTGGTGGAACCGTCCAAGGCCTTCCCCGGGGACCACGGACAGCCTCAGGTGGGGCAGTCACTGGAGGACGGGGGGGGGGGGGCGCACGAGGCAGTAATGACACAGACGTGGTTCTGTACAAAACCTGAAATATTTTTACTTTTTTAAAACTTTGGTCTAAGTTGCCTTAGACCTCATGGACTCGATACAAGAGTAATATGAATCGGGAAATAAAACACTTTAATAGCCACGATAAACTTTGTTAGAAATGTACATGTTGCCAAAATAATAATAAAATTAAAAAGAGAGAGAGAGAGAGAGGGAGAGAAGGAGAGAAGGAAAGAGAGAGGAGAGAGAGAGAGAGAGAGAGAGAGAACACAGCTTGATGCCCGGGTTAGATTATATAAATGTTCAACAAGGACAGGGAAAGGAAACTTTAAAAACGCCAGTTCTGAGTAAGCCTGGGGCCCTGTGAGACTTCCCCTCTCCCAGCCTCGGGCCCTGGGGACGGCGTCCCTCGGCGTCCCTCCTAACAGGACAGTGGGGGTGGATAAGGCCTCCGCCAAGCTGCTTCTCCCCGTGGACGAGACATCCAGGTAATGGGTATATAAACAAAGCTCATAAGAAATGTACAAATATAAAAAGCTACAAACATTAATAAATTACAGCGTCACAAAACACAGAAAACACTTCACAAGGTGCTAGTAAAATAACTGTCCCCCGACCCCCTCGTCATACAAGAAGGAAAACAAAGAGCTGGTATGAGAGCTGAGGAGTCGTCTTCAGAATGTGTCTGAAGTCCATCTTTTGTGTACTGTTTGCTTCTGTGAAGACAGAGTGTAAGGCTGCACAGACAGACTTGTTTTTCAGGCAATACCTTAGTTCCTAAAAGAAAAAAGAAGAAGGAGGAGGAGGAGAACAAAAGGAAAGAAGGAAAAAGAATCAAAAAAAAAAAGAAAAAGAAAAAAAGAAAGCACTGGAACCCAACTGTCCATCAGAGTCGGCAAAAAACTCGTATAAAGGTTAATGAAGGACTCTATAGAAAGAAATTCCTAAAGATACTTTTGCTCTTGTAAAAAAGAAGTCGTTTAAAAAGCTATTTACACGCTACATTCTATGAAAAATATGCTTCAGGAAATACATCTAAAATTAAAATACAGGATTGCCTGAGAAACAAATCCAGACCCTCTGCGACGCGGGGCAGCCAGCCATCCGGGGACGGCCGTGCCCGCGACACCCCACGCCAGCCAGCCCGGGAGAACAGAGAAGTGCCATCCCGCGGCCCCCAGCCACCTGGCCGCCCTCCAGCCCGCCAGTCTCGGGGCAGGGGCCTCGGCCGAGAAGTGCTTCTCCCGGGTGCAGCCGGCAGAGTCGGTGGGGCCCCTCCACCAGGCTTAGCCTGGGCCCCCCGGGGCCCCGAGACGTGGGAGACGTGGCCGGGCCCTCGCCCTCCCCTGGGGATCCCACGGTGGCTCCCCCACCCGCTCACACACCAACCCAGCTGCTGGTCCTAGTCGCCCCAGAGAAACGCCCCTGGGCATTTCGGGCGCAACACCCACTATCTAGACTGCCACCTGCCAGCTGGGGCAGACCTCTCCTTGCCGGCCGAGCGCTCTCTGGACTTGTCTGAGAAATCGCTCGGGAAGAGAAGCGAAGGGGGCACGTAAACATCCCGTCTGCTCCTCCTCATTCTCTCTGTGTTCTTTGCCTTTTTTTAAGCCTCTGGAGGCTACCAGCCTGTGGCCAGCTCAGACTCTGGGGCTGGTGAGCATTGGCTCACTCTACCTTCCTCGAAGGACTCGTGCTCCCAGCAGAGCTGCGGAGGCCCCCGCAATCACACCCATGCTCCGGGTGCCTGGAGGCTGTCCTGAAATTGGAATGATCCTCAAACTGGCAGGGCCGCTTTTCAGGAACTGGTCACTCTAAGCAACTTGAGAAAGGATGTCCGGATTCAAAACGAGGGACGGCCATGCTTGGCTCGCTCCGCCTGCTCAAGGGACAGACGCTCGTTTGGGGGTGTGGTGGCTGGGAGGAAGCGAGGCCCTCCCTGGGTGAGGCAGCTCGACCACCCTCCCGGGGGGCGGATGTTCTGGCGGGGCTCCGGGGTCCTGAGCAGAGCAGAAGGATCCTGGCTTCCGAGCTTTAAAGGAGCAACTTGCCGTTCCGATGGATCTTCAGGATCTTTCCGAGCCGCTGCTTGGCGGTGGCCATACCCTTTTTAGTACGTTTTCCTAAGAGGGTGGGGGAGGGGACACAAAACACAAGGGTGAGATGGCAAAGGGGGCGGCGAGCCGGGGCACGGGGCCCCCCGACACTGGGTCAGCTTGCAGCCCCTGAGCCCCCACCTTTCTCTGCAAAAATGGGCCTCTGTGGCCACAGCTCTGAGCTCCGAGTCCAGCCAAGTTACAGCACCCAGCTCAGAGGCCGCTGCGTCCACAGGGGCCATGGTGAGTGGGTGGACTCAGGCTCGGGGACTCGAGGTCACCCTGGGCCTGGTACCATACACACCCAGGTCCCCATAGCCAGCGGGTCCGTGACCAGGGGGCAGCTAGGGAGGCCCGGCAGGAGCAGGAGATGAAGACACAGGGGGTGGCAGGGGACCTGGCTGACACGATGTCCAGCCCACACAGAGGGGCTGGTGACCCTGCAAGCAGCCCGGTGCGTACCAGGTCAGTCCCAGCCCCACCCTTGGCAAATGGCTGACCACACCCCAGCTCTGTCGGACCCCAGAGCTTCAGACTTGAGCCTTATCCACAGGCCCAGAGGCAGTCCTGGCCCCCATCTGATGAGCAGCCCTCTCCCCTGGTCTCCACGGAGGCCAGCTCTTCCCCACATCAATACTGAGCAGGCTGGCTGCAAACTTTTGTGTGCCTTGCCACGGGGGCATGCAGATGCCCAGACGGGAACTAGCTCAGACCCCAGTGTCTGCCGTCCTGAGGCCAGAACCTGCCCTGGCCATGTAGCGTCCTCTATCGAGGGACAGGGGCTGCAAGTCTGGGGCTGCCCCGGGGCCCAGCAGGGGCAGGCAGGACGGGGCTACCTTTGGCAGCAGTGTTGTTGTTGGGGGACGACGCAGAGGGCCGCCTCTGTGTGAGAAAGACTCCAGGGGCCATGGGCTGGGAGGCGCGGCCAGCCGGGGCCCCCGCGAAGGCGCCGGCCGCTGTGTACTCGTGGTCAGCCAGGCTACTGCTGTGTGACTCAGGCGGGGGCTCAGGTGAGCTGCCCTCCTGAGAGGCCTGGCTGCTGGCCGTGCTGGTGGAGGCCGGGGTAGTGGAGGCCGGGGTAGTGGAGGCTGGGGTGGTGGAGGCCGGCGTGGTGGAGGCCGAGGTGGTGCCGGCCGAGGCAGAGGCGGAGGGAGAGGCGGTGCTGGGGGTCAGTTTCCTTTTAGTGCTCTTTTTCTTCCTGCTTTTCTGCTCCTCCTTTGAACAAAATATGCAGGTGTGTTACCCGCAGGGCAGCTTCGGACACACGTCCCGTCAGAACCCAGGGGGCCGGGCCCCGAACATCAGTGCTGGGCCTGGGGAGGGGCCACCACACTCGCCACAGCGTGCTGAGCAGGAAGGGCTCCGGTCCTGAGCCTGGCCCAGCTGGGACATGCGGCCACTGCGGGCCCCCCACACGGTGTGCACTCCCCTGGTGGGTGGGCACAGGGGCCGGGCACTCTGAGCTGCCACGGGCCCCTCAGTTCTGAAGGGACATTCACTTTGATCCTACTGACTTCTGTGGGTGGTACCCGGATGGAGTCAGGCCTGGTGGACTGGGTACCTGGGCTCCAGGACCCTGTCTGGGCTGGGAGAGCAGAGCCCGAGTGGACAGGCCACCATCCGTCTCCACGTGGACAGCTGGAAAAGGCAGGACCCCAGGGGAGCGGAAGGGCCAGGGCCCCAGGGGAGGGGAAGGGCCCCTCCCAGGGGCGCCAAGGGTGAGAGCCATGGAGGTCCCTCCGGGGCACCCCCTGCACCAGAACAGCCCAGCCTCAGCCAGAGGCACCCATCCAGGGCGAGGGGCCCAGGGCGAGGGGCCGAGGCCTTCAACGCTGGCTCCCCCGTCTCCCCCCAGGATCTGGGCTCGGACGGAATGGGCCACCCTGTAAGTAAACGTCCCCAAGCCTGAAACCCCCCAGCCCAGGTGGTCTGTGTGTGGGGACGGAGGATGGGGACATCTGGGGTCGGGGTGTTGGGCCCAGCCTCAGGGAGTCTCCTCTCCCCCAGCCCCTCCTCACCTGCTGGGATAGCTTGGCCGCAGCCGCCGCCAGCCCGGTCTCAATAGAGGCCACTCTCGTCCCCTCCCGCACAGGCCTGTCCTGTCTTGGCACCGATGGGCCGACCCTGGCTGTGGAAGACAAGGGCCGGCCCCTGAGCTTTCAGCCACAGTCCATCCACCCCTCACCCCGGCCCATCCCCGAGTCCACAGGACCCCGAGCACCGGGCCTTGCCAGGGAGGAGACAGAGCACTGGCCTGTCCACAGTGGGCACCACATCAGGTTTCCCGGGCCAAGCCTGTGAGTCAGGCAGGCCAGCGGGGGCCACCTGGGAGGTGGGCAGGGCTGCGCCCACCAGCCACCTCGGCAGGCGTCCCTCCATGAGCAGGCCCCTCACGTGGAAAGAGGGCCCACCCCAGGGGCTTCCCAGTACCTGGCCTGGGGCCTGGGACCCAAAGCAGAGCCCCAGTCATGCTCTTGCAGGCAGCTGACCAGTCCCTCAGGACAGGCCACCCAACCATGGGACAGGACTAGCACAGAGCAAAGCCCACATTCCCAGTGGCCAGAGGGACGGCAGACGAGGACACAGCCGTCCACGTCAGTGTCGCGTGGCCCCCCTCGGCACTACCTGTGGGGCTGTAGGGAGCGTCGTCCGAGCCTTTCCTCTTCTTCGACCGGGACTTGAAGACAGGGTTGTCTTCGTCAGACTCCAGTGAGGGGTAAACTGAGGGAGGCGAAAGGAGGATGGGCCCCTGAGCAGCTGGACGCAGCTGGGCTGCGGCGCAATAGACCTCCCTGACTGGTGCCCCGGAGCCCAGCCCCAGGCCTGCCACACAGTGACCACCCCACGCGTGGGCACAGACGAGAAGGCGCCTGCATCCGCCTGACCAGCCACGTCTGCCCCACCCGGCCTCCTGCTCTCGGGACCGCCGTCCACACAGCTGTCCACAGAGCCCGGGACCTCGGGAGGCCCCACCTTGAGGCTAGCTGTGGCAGAGGTGGGAAGACCAGGGAGGGACGGGCCCCCAGCAGGGCACCCGGCTCTGGGGACAGAATTCTGGGTCTCCAGCTTCCTTGTGAACCGTCCACCATCCAAGGCCAGGAGCTGGGTGGGCTCTGCAGTGAATCTCAGAGGAGGGGCCGTGCATAGCAGTACAGTGGCCTGGGACCCAAAGCAGAGCCACTGGTGGACTGGGTACCTGGGCTCCTGGACTGTGACTTGCCGGGGACCCTTGCACTGTGGGTCATGGTCCCTCAGCCTCCAAGGCCTGCAGAGGAACCCCAGGGCCTGTGACTCGGGAGGCAGCAGCAGGAGCCCACACTCCACACCCCGAAGGAGTGCAGAAAACAGGAGTCGGCCGAGCTGTCAGTCTGCCTGTCAACAGGGCGGGCCCCGCTGCAGGCCCAGATCTGTCCACCAGATGTGGGGCTCGGCCAGCCTGGTGTGTGGGAGCTCTCCAACTCACGGCGGCCCAGCTTGGCAAGGCCCCAGCCTCTGGCCAGTAGTACGCATGTTGGGAGAAAGTTCTGGACTAAGCAAGGCATGTCCGGCCCTGGGAACAGTGGGCCTGCCCCAGCACCCCACACCCAGAACCTTCTCCGAGGCACGCGGACAGGCTCCTTGCTCTCTGGCCCTCTGGACGGGGCTGGAGACAGCGCTATGCAGCCTGACCACGTGTCTGGTGGGAGACGGAGGCTCTGTCACGGCAGGGAGCCAGAGCTACAGCCCATTTCTAACTACCTGCCACACCTCCGATGTGGCCACAGTGCCACCTGGGGTCTCACACAGAGGCAGGGTGGACACAATGATCTCAAAGTCCTGCCACTACAAAATGGTAGAGTTGCATGGGAAGCCCTTGGGCAGGTCCTAGAGAGCTGAGCACAGTGACCTACGACCCCGCCCGCCCTCCTAGGAACGAGGGTAGGGGGCAGGGCGGAGCATGCACAGGCACGTGCAGGAGCCACACAAGGGTCCCCGGATGGACAGACAAACGTGGGCTACATCTGGAGGAAGAGTCAGCCTCAAAGAGGGAAGGAACCCTGGCACAGGCCCCGGCAATAGGGGGATCTTCAGGACACAAAGGTGACGTGCAGGATCCAGGTGTGTGACGAGTCCAGAGCAGGTGGGCCACAGAGCCCCAGAGCACATCAGGGGCTGCCCAGGGCAGGGAAGTGGGAAGGGCGACTGTTAGAAGTCAGGGTTTTCTCCGGGAGATGTGATGAAGGTGGCTGTGGACGCACACACCTCTGAGGACAACAAAGCCCACTGAACTGCCAACCTTTAAGGGTGGCTTTTATGACGTGTAAGTGACATCTCAAAATCAAAAAGGGCTCAGCTCCAGGAAGAGCTCCCGGTGGGCACAGCCCCGGATGCGAGGTTCCTGCCCACCACGGGCACCGGCCCCATCCCTGGCAGCACCACACACCGTAGTCCGAGTCCTTGAAGCAGGCGTCCAGATGGTCCTGCTCCTCCTCGTAGTCGTCCAGGTCCACGCTGTTCTTGGCCGACCTCTTGAGCAGCCGCTTGCCTGAGCTCTTGCTGCCACCTCCGTTTTTCCGGCCACCATGGGCTGCCAGTGAGCTGCCCTTGGCCTGGCCAGCGCCCCACGTGGTCTGCAGGCAGGAGTCAGAGGCCTGCAGGTTGGCCATGGACAGCATTCCCTGAATGGCTTCCTGTGTGCTGGGGGACGCCGGCGGCTGGCTGGGGACACAGAGAGACAGGGACTCAGCCACAGCCCCAGGTCCACAGCCCAGAGCATCAGCCCACAGCTCACTGTACACAGTGGTCCTCAGCCCAGGACACGACCGAGCCTGCAGCCTGCAGCCTGCAGCCCAGGACGCTTGGACTTCCAACAGCCCACAGCCCAGGGGCCACACAGTCACTGGCCTGGGTGACAAGCAGAGGGCATGGGGCGGAGAGGTGGTGTGGCTGATGACTTCCCGTGGACAGAGGTCAGGAAGCCCCTCTGCTCACCCAGCCCCACTCTGGGGAGGGCTGGAGGCCTTGGGTCAGAAATGGGTCACAGAAGGGAGACACACAGGGGGACGGGGTAGGGCCAGGTCCTGCATGATCATGCCCCAGGCTTTGCCACCTCAAGGCTGGCCAGCAGGAGCAGCCCTCCCCCTCCTGCACTCCTGCCAGCCCTGTGCACCCCTCAGGGCACCCTGGGCTGCTCTCCCCACCACAGAGCCCCAACCTCAGCCTCACTGAGGACATTCCTTCCTGGCACCTCCCACTCAGCACGGTACCCGGAAAGAACAGCACTCCCCTCTCAGGCATAGACTCTCCCCACACCTACACCTACATATCTGCTTGCATGTGCACCTGCATCCACACCTGCATCCACACCTGTCCCCCCATCTGTACCTACGCCCACACCTGCATCCACACCTGTCCCCACATCTGCACCTATGCCCACACCTGCATCCATACCTGTCCCCCCATCTGCACCTACGCCCACACCTGCATCCACACCTGTCCCCCCATCTGCACCTACGCCCACACCTGCATCCACACCTGTCCCCACATCTGCACCTATGCCCACACCTGCATCCACACCCCCACCTGCACCTACGCCCACACCTGCATCCACACCCCCACCTGCACCTACGCCCACACCTGCATCCACACCCCCACCTGCACCTTTGCCCATACCTGCATCCACACCTATGCCCACACCTGCATCCACACCCACACCTGCATCAGACATGCTCCTGTTCCTGTGCCCACCTGGAGAGGCACAGCTGCACCTCTGTCCAACCCACACTCCCCGTCTCTGGTAGCTTCCACGCAGACTCCCAGGCTTTCTGGGGGCCCCTTGCTCCCCAGTCCTCTGCTGCCCTCTAGCTCCAGGCCTCGCCGCCCACAGCAGCCAGCTGGCATTCTGGCCAGCTCCTCGTCCCCTGCCCATTCCTGTGCCTGTGCCTTCTTGGCTGCACTGGTGTCCCTCCTTCCAGATGCAGCTTCCAAAGCCAGGCTCAGGGAAAGGTGGGACGGGATGACCATGGTCACTCTGCAGAGCTGGGGCTGGAAGCTGCTGGACGGCAAGGCCCCTTGAGGCCAAGTTCTGGGATTCGTGGGGAGCCTCCCACCATCCGCACCATGGAGCCCAGCCCCAGTGTCCTTGTGGGGCCTTGCCCTGCCCAGGCCACGCCCTGCCCCAACAAGAACCCCCACCTGTGTGCCTCAGAAATGCCTGAGCAGCTTAAAAATGCCAGCGCCCGGCCCCTTCTGGAGACGGTGAGTCAGGCTCAGGCTCCAGACACCACAGGTGGCCGGGACGGAGAGCCTGCATTTCCCCGCAGCTCTATGCGGCCCTCCTGTCCACTGCCCTGCACTCCTCCAACCCAGGGCGGGATGGCCCACTCTAGCCTGCAGAGTAGTCCTGCCACCAGTGGGGGTCCGCCCCGCCCCGACCAGAGGCACACAGTACCCTGCCCCCCTCCCTCCCGAGCCCGCTGCTAAGGAGGCTTGTTCTGCGACAGCATCGTCACTCCAGCCCCGGCCTCCCCTTTCCCCCAGCCCCTGAGATGTGAAGGCAGGACAAGCTGCTGAGAGGGGGGTGAGCAGGGCGCGGAAGGGGTGTCAGGCCCAGGACAGGACTCCTGCGTGGGGGAGAGAGGCTCGTGCACCTCCAGCCCCTCACAGGAGGCAGAGCCCACATGAGAGGAGAGGGGCCAGGGCAGTGGAGGGCCTGCTGCCCAGACACAGGCTGAAGCACCCAGGGACCTGGAGACGTCGCTGCTCAGAAGCAAGTGAGTCCCCAAGAACGGGGTCTGACAGAGGGTGGCGGAGCGATCTGGCCACACCCGCAAAGGCAAACCTGGCAAACCTGCAGGAGACCCCCCTTTAAGGGACGTGTGGGAGGCCCAGGCCCACAGCCCTCTGGGGGTCCTTTCCCTGAGCCACCAGTCTCCACAGCCCTCCATGAGAGCTGCCTCACAGGCCCCCACCACGGCCGTGACACATCAAGTAAGGACGACGGTGCTGAGCTCCCTGGGAGGTGCGCCGGGAGCTGCCCCTCCACTGCCCCCCAGGGCTGCGCTGTCACGCTGCCTGGCTGCGGTGCCAAGGCCAGCAGCTGCCCGTGCTCTGTCACCACTGTACCATCCTCACTGACCTCTCTGAGCAGGGACAGGCCACCACTAGGAGCTATTTGCTCTTGAACCCTCTGCACCAGGCCCTCTCCTGTCCCCGACCTGGGCCACAGGGGGATGCCGAGACACCCACCATGAGGTTCCCCAACACAGGGGGAGGGGCCCCCACTGGAGCCCGTGCAGAAGTGATCTGTCCACCCAGGCCATCTGGGCGACCCCAGAGGGTGGGGACCTCACGCCCAGCCTGTCCGTCCACAGTCACTGGTGAATCAATGAGCAAAGTTTAACCAGTCAGCATGGAAAATAATACTTTAATCCTCCAATTATCATACCCGAATCCTCTCCTTTCTTCCACAGCGATAAACACTAAGCAAACCATCCACAGAAATTAACATATTTTCCTCCAGTTTTCTTTAGCCGTTTTTTTTTTTTTTTCCAAACAGCTAGTACTTACAGCAGAGCAAATGGACCATCAAAAACTGACCTACACTCCAAATGGGGGACTGCAGGAGAGGAACTGCCTGCAGCAGGCTGTGGGGGCCAGCTGGCCCTGGAGGCCCCCGTGGGCACGTGTGCTTGTGCATGCACATGCAGGAGGTCACATGCGGTGTCTTCAGGGCCCATCCCCTAAAGGCACAGGGGCTGGGGCAGCTCTGGGTGCCTCCTTAGCAGATGGGCCTCCCGTCCTGGGCTCAGACACAGAACCTCCCCATCTCTGTCCCCACTCTGCCCTTGAGAGTCCCCTCTATACAGCATCCACAGCAAGGTACCTGGTGACCCAGGCCAAGGCTCTCAGCTCCATCTGACCACACCCTGGGAGACCTCAGTCTCACCCCAGCCCCTGGCCTTTAGTCCTCTCAATGGAGGCCATGGGGGCTCCAGGGTGTCCCCAGGGTCAGTCACGGAGGCTCAGCCAGCACGTACCTCCTCCTGGAAGGCAAGCAGCCCCTGCCAGGCTGCGGGGAGCCCCGCGCAGGGCTGCAGCCTCCACTGGGGAGGGCCAGGCGGCCAGCCTTCACCTCCTGGCTACAATCATCTCTGCAGTAAGGACAGAACAGAAATGACCTCATGCTAAGCAGGAAATCTGTCCCCCAAGGTGCTGTGGACCCCTCTAGTCATGCTTCACTCCCGCTGAAAGACAGGGCCTGCAGCTGGAGGGGTGAATGTGATACTGCACGCAAACAGCCACTTATGAAACAAAACCCAGCCGACTGATTTAGCCAAACCTTCTCAATCAAGCTCTTAATCCGCCTTTCCAGAGCCCCTCCGCCATCTAAGAGCAGGCGGGGCCTTCAGCGTCCACCTGCCCTGGAGCAGCCCCAAGGGCCATGCTGAGCTGTCAGTAGTTTCATCTAAGTGGTCACCTCCAGAAACCAGAGACTAAAACGCAGATCTGGGAAATGGAGCGAGCGCCCAACAGGTCGCAAGGGCCCTGCCTTCCTCAGGCCAAAGTGTGACAAGGGACCAGGGCTCACTCCAGGACAACAGAGCCCAGTACCAGACAATACTTCAGGAACCCCCAAAGCTCTGGTTCTCGAATCAAGCAGACGTGACCCTAGGCCTGTCTGCTACCTTGGAGCTGTAGTCAGGCAAGAGGGTTGAGCTCGCTGAGCCTCCGTTTCCCCAACTGTGAGGGACTCTGCGCTGTCCTGAGACTAGGTACAGCCCAGTTCCCAGAGTCTCTACCCCGTGGCACGCCTCGCTGCCCGAGCCTAGGGTCTGGCCGTGCGCCCGCGAGCGACCGCTGCCCGGATGCTGCAGGACGTGGCCGGGGCCCACCTGTTGGGGTTGTACTCGAGCGCCCCGACCTCCTCACTAGCCTGCAGCAGGTCCAGGATGCCAGCTGCCGAGCCACTCTCCTTCTTGACTTTGGCGTTGCGTCCAGGCTTGGTGTCCGTGTCAATGTGCAGAGAGCCCTCATCCGAGGAGTCGTCACTGTGCTACATGGGGACAAAGGTGCTGGTCAGCACAGGGGCGTGGCAGGAGGGGGGGGGATCACTTTTTCCCTTCAGGGAGAAACATAAGAAAGTTCTTATAGAGCCCTCTCTTTCTAATGAACATTGCCAGGGTCTGCCCAAGGCCCCCGAGCTGAGGGAGGAGCCAGCCAGACACGCGGGGCTGGCAAGGGTGCCGGGCTGTCTCCAGGACCCCAGGGCCACCTACACCATTTCTACAGCAAAGGTCTCACATGAGAGAGCCCAGTGTGAGGCTGCCACGGCAGGAGGAGCAGGGCATGGGGGAGAACCTGCAGTCCCCCAGAGCTCCAGGCCCTGGGCAGCAGCCTCAGCTCCAGATCAGCCCCCGGGCAAGTGGCTCCTGGGGCAGAGACCCCAGATCCTCAGAGAGGGCCTCTGCATGGTGGTCTTGGAGGTCATCTGAGTACAAACCCCCTCCTGACCACAGACCCCTCCCGCACACTTCCACGCCGGGGCATCTTATTGCACCTATCTCCCCAGTGGTGGCTCTGGCTGGGGCGAGGGGGGTGGCTCTTCAGGTGGCCAAGGGCTCAGGCAGGCACTTGTGCCTCCTGTGCCAACCCCACATCTGAGCCCAACCCACAGCCTCTCTGTAAGAGAGGAAAGGGCCGGAGGCCCCTGGTCGCCTCAAGCAGAGACACAAGGACCATCCCACTGAGCCCCCGAGCTGGCCCCAGAAGGGGGCTCACCTTGTACACTGCCGACTCCAGCTTTGGCTTCATGACAGGCGTGGGAAGAACCTCCTTCTTGTCCAACAAGACTGAAAGCAGAGCAGATGTGAGTCCTCCTGCATGGAGCTGGCCAGGTACTGACCTCTCGCCCGGCCAGGATGGGCCGCCCGAGCCCCCGCCCACGCCCACGCTGCACTCACAGGACAAGTCCCTTTTCGGGGCGTTCTTCTTCCTCCTGATGGGAAACTCATCGATCTTAAGCTCCCCGTCATCTGACACGTACTCATACTCATCCCGCACGGGCTTGGCCTTGTCCTCCTTGAAGTTCTGCAGGGCCCCAAACACACCAGGGCTCGTCGGGGGCCTGAGGGCCTTGGAGCTAGGGGGCAGAAGGACGCAGGTCAGCAGGCTATGAGGATCTCCCCTGAAACCCTGGTTCCAGCATCCCTTGGAAGCAGTTGGTGGCAGAAGACAAGACTGCATTGTAGGAGGTCACCTGTCCACAGAGAGGAGATACTCCCCAAGCCCACGGCCACCTCCTCAATGCCCTGTGGCCTGGCGTGTGGTCCTGATATGCAGCTCATGTGGTACAGAGAAAGTCCTTCTGAGAACAGGGCCCCCAAATACACACACAGGCCCTCTGCCAGCCTGCTAGACAATCCCGACACACACTGAATCCGGTCCTAGATGGGCAACTAGCCAACCCTCCTGTCTTTTTCTGCAAGCTGTTTTGGAAAGACACCTTCAGGGCCACAGTGTACGCTCCCTGGCCTAAGAAATATGTGACTCATCTCTGCTGGGGCCAGGAAGGCTGTTCCGGGCAAGACGCACCCACGTGCTCAGCCCTCGCAGCTCCAGACTGGGCCCCGGGGCCTGAGGACTCGACCAATGGCGGGGACAGCAGGGAGAAGCAGAAATGCCTGGAACTTCAAACAGGCACAGCTGAGTTCTAAGTGAAGGGGAGGCTGGTGCGCGGACAGTGCGTGGGGCAGCCGCCGCTTCCAGTGCTCTCGGAGAAGGGCAGCATCCAGACTGCGGCCTTAGAGGGGCGCATCCAACACGCGCTTGCGCACAGGGGCACGCGTAGCCAGAGCCACGCCCACCTTTCTCATCCCATCTCTAAACTCTAGGTGCAATCAAGGAACCAATCCCACTGAAAAGCCTCCCGAGACCTGCAGGCAGTGCACATAAGGGGCAAGCCCGGGGCCATCGGGTCAGGGCACCAAGACCAGACCATGCAAGCTACCACCTGCTGAGCAAGTGTGGGCTCACCCAGGAAAGGACGCTGCCTCTCACCAGGCTCAGCCCTGGCACCTGCCTGTTTCTTCACCACCCCAGGGGGCCTCCTCCCATCTCCTGGGTGAGGAACCTGAGATCCAACCATGTCACTCAGTGGCCACTGCAGAAAAGTGGCCACCACTCCCACCAGGACCTGTCTGATTCAGCAGGCAATGGGGACACCTCGGGGACATGTCTGTGCCCAGGACAGGCAGACCCTGCAGCCGGAGCTTGGAAGTCTACAGCCTGATTCACACCACAGCACCCCTGGCTCCCATCTGAGCTCCGAGGCTGGTGCCCTCCGCCTTCTCTGGAAAGCCCTCCTGGCTCCCACGGAGGACAGGCCTCCACACCTAGGGGCCCGCAAACCCTTCCCCGTGGTGCCCCTCACAGTCACGATTTCAGGTGCACTTAGGAGACTGCCGGGTTCACACTGCCCCATCCCACTGGCCACTGGGCTCCCCCGCTCACCACCTCAGTGCCTTCATGACAGCCAGGCAGTCAACTGGGGCTCCCTCCCTGCCCGCTGCAGGATCCCTCCTCCCAGCTGCCCCACGGGCCCAGCTTGCTGGAAGCAGAGGCTCAGCTTTCCTGAGGCCTGGCCCTGACCAAGGCCTGGCCCTGGCCCTGACCAAGGCCTGGCCCTGGCCCTGACCAAGGCGCGCTATGCACAGAGCTGCAGTGCATAAGGTCAGCAGCTTGGAGGCAGAAGAGCCCAGCTGAGGGTGCATCGGTCAAAGGCTGTGAGTGTGTGTGTGCGTGTGTGCGTGTGGTGTGAAATGCACGTGTGGCGTGTATGTGTACGTGGGTGTGGGTGGGGTTATGATGCAGTGTACACGTGTTGGTAGAGAGTGGGGTCTGTCTGTGCGGGGAGCTGTGTGCACGTGCTGGCCAGGGAGTGTCCACTGGGTTTCCCCAGGTGTGACGGACGTGCTGCAGTGTGCAGAAGTGTGCTGCGTGTGCCTGTGTAGGGTGTGTGAAGCACAGGATGTCTGCACAGCATCTGCACGTGCGTGACGCGGTCCCTGTGTGGCATGTGCGGTGTGTGTGGTGCGGCCTGTGGGGTCACCCCCCGACCTGAGCCCCCTCACATACCCCAGGAGTTTCTTGTTGGAGAAAGAAAAGGAAAACTTGTCCTTGTTCCCAGCCAGGGGCGACTTCTCCAGCTTCTGCTCCTCCTCCATCTTCAGTAGGGAGTCGGGTTTGCTGTTCTGAAAGCAAGAGCGGGGCCGTTGCTGAGCCCCGGGGCGGGGGCAGAGGCACAGGCCTGGAAAGTCACTCACGGCTCCGACGGCTGCTCAGCCCCCAGCCTGCAGGGCCCTCCTGGCTCCCAGGGAGCAGCGACACACACCAGGGCACTGATGGCGAAGACAGTGAAACTCCACCCACCCAGCGTGGCACGTGGGCTCTGCATCCATGCTGCCCCACAGCAGGTGACTCTCAGGGGGGGTTGTGCGCCCTCCAGACCTGCAGAGGTGCCTCAGGGCACCGCCTGTCCGGTACCTCACCACCCTCACGCATGCAGGGAGTCATGGACCGACCTCAGCTCACACTCACTCACACACACACAACCGCACCTTGTACTTCCACTTGGCCTCGGACTTGCTCTTGGTCTGCTCGCGGATCTCTAGCCGCTCCACGTCATTCTGTGTGTGGACCATGTCCTTGTTGGGAACACTCAGGACACTCTTTGGAGCCTAGAAAGCAGGGCATTCATGACTCAGAGGCAGACGTGGAGGATGAGCAGGGCTCCCTTAGTTTATACCATTGAAGCCTGGCCCCCAAGCCCTGGCCTCCCGGCCCCCAAGCCTTGGCCTCCTGGCCCTCAAGCCCTGGCCTCCTGGCTCCACAAGGCCCCGCCTCCTGCTGCCCGCATGTGGCTCAGCCAGCCTCTCCTCCACCTATCTGTCCATCATTCATCTGTTCATCCCTCCATCATCCATTCAACCCTCCTTCATCCATCCATCCATCCCTCCATCCATCCATCCCTCCATCCATCCGTTCATCCACGCTTATCCTGAGAAAGAAACTACCAGTGTGTCCCACTGTGACCCTGGAGGAGGGCCCCCAAGAAGCCGGTGACAGCCTCCCCCTGGAGGTCATTCACCCTCAGTGGTGCCTGGTCTCAGGGCGCAGGTTCCTGAAGCCCAGACCTAAGACCCTGGAGTCAGAGTGGGTGCCCCAGCTGGGTCTGTCCCTCTCCGGGCTCCAGTGCTGTCCACGCTGCTTATGCATGGACGCTTCACGGTCTCAGCCCCAGGAACAGCTCCTCGATTCCCAGCTGGGCCACCCTCCCGGAAGACCACCCCTCTCCCTGTGCTGCTTGGCCCTCCTGAGCGCAGCCCCTGCCCGACACCAACAGTGCCACCTCCCTCTGTGCCACTGCTGGCCGGGGCACCGTCTGGGCCTGACACACAGTCCGAGTGTCAGCAGGAAGACTGCCACAGCATGACCCTGGCACGCTCTGGGACACCACCTCATGGCTGCCCCCTCCCTGCACAGGCACAAGCCCCTGGAGGGCAAGGACACCGCGGCCCCAGCCGGCCCGCCGGCCCGGCACCCAGCAGGCCCACCTTGCCCTTCTTGGGCGGCTCCATCTTGGTCAGCGCCTCCTTGGTGTGGGCCTCGAGCAGGTCCAGGTTGGGGATGGTGGGCGAGGATGACTCCCGGCACTTCTTCCCTTTCTTCTTGCTTCCATCCTTGAGCTTCAGAGTTTTGGGGGGCTTCGGGGGCTTGGGGGGCTTCGGGGGCTTGGGGATTTTGGATGGCTTGGGCATCTTCACAGTCTTGGGAGTCTTTTTTTTGGACACTTTCTCCAAGAGGGACCGAGGTGGGGTGGCCTCGAGGGGAGATGGGGGCTCCTCCTTCTCCTTGTCCCCGTCACAGACCTCATCAGAGGAGGCGACAACATTCACTTCTGGTCGGACGGTTTTGGAGGCATTCTGGGATGGGAAAAAGGACAGGGTCACGCAGGTCCCTAGACCATGGCCAGGAGGGTCCCCACAGGACTCAGGAGAGGCAGAGAGAGGCCCACCCATCCCACACCACCCTATGATCTGCTCATAACACTCCATGCCAACACGTGACAGCCGCCCACCCCACACCACCCTGTGATGAGCTCCACTGTCCTGGGCCATCAAGACACTCAGCCCCCCCACATCCTTCATCGCCATCGGCACCAGATCCTCACCCACTCGGGCTCCTCAGTCCTCCCTGAGCAGGGAGGCTGCCAGGCTCTGCCAGGCTCTGCCAGGCTCACAGGGGCGGGCATCAAGAGGCTGGACGCAGGGGGTTCCCCTGCTGGACGCCCCGCCATGTGGGAGCTGCGAGGCCCCATCCACCTCTCACTCCCTGGGTGCCACCACCAGAGCCCAGCCCAGCTCCAGGCCTGGGAGTGGACCCTCAGGCAGGGGAGCCACCTGGAGGGGCAGCTCCGGTCTAGCTGGCTCACCGACCCGGAGGAGAGGTCAGCCCACCCTCATCCCAGGGGCCAGCGCAGAGCCCCAGGCACGTCCTCACCTCACTGAGCCGGATCTCTCTGGCCAGGTCCTTGATGAGCTGGGAGGGCCTGACGTGCTCAGGGAGCTCATCCTCGTGCTCCGCCAGGGCCTGTGGGACCCGGGGTCAGCGCCAGCTCTGCCGTCTGCGGCTCCTCGCCCCCTGCCCCGTCCCTCCGATCTACTCCCTTCCTTCCCACCCAGACAGGACCAGGACCACCCAACTGTCCTGGGGTGAGAGGCTGCCATGGAGCACTGGGTCCTGGAACCTGCCTGTGCGCCCCACTCCAGAGGCGCTGCACAGGGCCAGGACCCCACCTGAGGCTCCTGTGAGCAGCCGGTGGGGCAGCTGTGGACCTGAGCCTTCTGCCTGGCCAGGCGGCTGGAGTGAGGTGCAGGGGCCCCCGGACTACCCCAGTCATAAGGCCCAAAAGAGATGGTGGCCCCAGGACGGCCCCGGGAGGACACCAGCTGCGCTCTCCCCACTTGCCTCACCCATGAGCAAGTCAGCTGCACTGGGCTCCCTGCGTGGACTCCACCTTGTGAAAGTCCCTGTGGACTTGCTGGCAACCCCAGCCCTGGGAGGCAGCCCTCCTCCCTCAGGCTGCAGATGGCCAGGTAGCTCTGCACAATGACAGCCCCAGGAGGAGACAAGGTTCCAAGGGGGCCCAAGGCTGAGCCGGACCCGCCCCCTTCTCTGTAGCCACAACCCAGGCAATGAGAATGCAAACGGGAAGCGGGGTCCTCTGGGCCCTGTTTGAGAAACAGTGTCCGCTGCTCCAGGGGGCCAGCACCATGGGGTCATGGGGAAGGCACAGCTGGTGCAGAGCCCAGGCCACTGCAAGTTGGTTAGGTGCCTGCACCAGGTAGTGTGGCTCCTAAGTAGGAGGGTCCAACAGTGTCCCTAGCACTCCCTGTCCAGATCCAGATGCCTGGTCATTGGGCCAGCTGCTCCCAGGTCCTCCTGTCCCCTCCAGGATCATGGTGCTGTCCCCACCATAGCCCCAGATGGGGGGGCACTCTCAATCTTCCTATGTCTTACCCCCTCAGGAGTCCCAGATGGTTCCATCAGTGGGCAGGAGACAGCTGTCTGTGAGTGATGTAAAAGTACTCCCTGGGCCAGACTGGGCCACCCACCTGTCACCCACTGAGTAGGACATACCTGGGTGTTGCCCCTGCCTGTCACCCACTCCCCTGTCCAAGAACACAAGTGGCCTGCTACCTACCTGCTTCTTTGTCCATGACCTGAAAGCACCATTGAGAATTTTAGCTCCTTGGACTAAATGAGGGGGCAGCTGTTTCCCAGACTTGTGAGAACCTGGAGAGGAGACAGCTCATTAGCTTGGGTGGGCACCCAGCCCAGCAGCAGGCTGGAGGGCGCCCAGGGCCCTGCCTTCCAGAGGCCTCCGCCCACAGCCACCTGCCCAACTGCCAACGGTTCCTCTTGGAACCTGGGGTGCCCACCCACCTGGTGGCCTTTCCTGCAAGGGGAAGGGTCGGCCCTCCACAGCCTCCTGCTACCTTACCCGCGGCTCGCCCACCAGGCTCCTGAAACAGGCCAGCTGGCTTGCCCTCTCCATCCAGTATCCCAGCCCTGCCCCAGCAAAGGACTGTGGGAGTGCCAGGAGATAGGCCATGGGTTGTCCCCACGGTCCTGCACCAAGCAGCCCCAAGCGCCTTCTTATTCCCAAGGGGCTGTGATCAAGCTACACAAAAGCAGTACCCAGACCCGGACAGAGAGCCCCATCCCAGGTCTGTCCACCCCACAGCCAGAGGCACGGCTCAGTGCCTGCCCTGGGACAGCCGGTACCTTTGAAAGCCTCCAGCAGGTGCTTCCCCATGTACCAGCAGGCAGTTTCAAAGTTGGGAAACTGAGTCAGGCTGCCCAATTTCAACCTCCTTTCCACCTCATATGCCCTGGAAGCCACAGCAAAAAAACATTTGGTGCAAGGAATAACAAGTTACCACACTAGAGGGCGAATACAGGCCACGGCCACGCTATCCAAGCCACGCCACAGCCACAATGACCCAGAGGAACACACTGGGAGGACCGACCACATCAGGAGGATGCAGTGGGCTGCAGTTCCTGGGACCTCAGCCAAAGCCCGGGAGAGGTGGCAGCAGCTTTTAATGACCTCAAACCATCACTAACCTGCCCACCCCCAGCCCCTCAGGGACTGTGAGACCATGGAGCTCCTGTGCCCTCCCGCCAGCCCAGCAAGGCCAACAGTGGTGCCCAGAACCATCCACAGGTTGGGCCCAGCCGGCTCGGGCCAAGATGTCCGTCACACCAACCCAGCTGGGGGAACCCCGCCGAGGGCAGATGGCACTGCTGGCACTACCTCATCTGCATCTCCACACTCAGGCTGTGGAGAAAGTGTCCCGCGAAGGCCAGGCAGTCCACAGGCGTGAGCGTGGCGTAAATCCAGCCTGCGAGAGACAGACGGGGCTCCACCTTGCTCTGTGCACTCAGCAGCTGCCTGTCCAGGCTGCAGACCGGTGCTGGCCTCCCCTGCCCAGGTCCTATCAGCCCATCCTGGCTGCTTACCCCCTCTGAGGGGACTGGGGACAGAACGTGACTGAGCCAGCCCAGGCGGCTGGATTGAGCCTTGCACCACACAGAGCATGAGCTAGGTCCCAGGCCTCCATATGCAGGGGCAGGAGAAACCTGAACTTGGCTTCTGCTCTCCCTGAGAGCCGGCATCTGTCCCCAGGTTATCCTTGGGGATGGAGCCAGGGCCAAACCCCGGGAAATCCGCAGCTCTTCCTAAAATAACTGTGACTGTGAGGAAGACGGGGAGGGAAAGAGGGGCCCTGGAGAGTACAAAGATTCAGAGGCTTGGAAACCAGTCAAACTCAGAGGACATCTGGATCCTGAATTTAAATGGAAAAAGAAATATCACCGCTAGAAAATCTGAACACTCTGGCTACTTGATGATACCGTGAACTTGTGATTAATTGTTCACTTTTAAAGACAGGACACCAGGATTATAACTGTGTTACCTTAAAGGGAATGAAGTCTTTCAGATAGCGGACTACTTATGGGTGAGACCATGGAGCTAAAAGGTCTGGAATTTACTCTCACAGAAGAATCTGGGGGACACTCAGCTGCTCGGGACCTGCTTTCTCCTGCACTCGGTCAACACATCCCTTAACAAACATCCAAATCGGCAGCTACCTGCCCTCCTTCCTCAGCACTGGTCTCGGTGTCTTTGATGCGTAGCTGCTTCTGCCACCTTCTGAGCCAGGTCTCCCAGGCTGGTGGCTCAGCCACAGGGAGTCGAGCCACACAGCCCAGAGGCAGTCCCAGTGTTGACCAAACGGGATTGGCACCCAGGCCCCCGGCTACCACAGAGCCTGCTGCTCTTCCTCTCTAAGGACTGGGTGGAACAGGCAGCCAGTGGCTGGGACACAGCACAGGGGACAGAGCAGCGACCAGGAGAAGGGCTGGCAAGCCCAAGCTCCGTGTTCCCGGAGCCAGCGTGCTCACCTGAGGGGATGAAGAGAGTCTGGCCCTGCTTGACGGTGCACCGGTAGCACTTGTCCACCTGGTCGGCAAAGAACATCTCGCTGTGGTTGGAGGCCGACCGCCAGCGCTCATACAGGGAGATGTTGGCCGAGGCCGGCCTGATGAGATAGAAGATCTTCTCCCCCTGTCAAGAGAGCCCGTTGGCAGACCCACAATACCAGGGGCAGGGGGCAGCTCCCACCCGGGGCTGAGGATGCTGTGGGACGGGCAGAGCCTGCCTGGTGTTGGGGACACTGAAACACAGGGTTGCAGAGCCCTCCCGGTGCTGGGTACAATGGGAGACAAAGGGACAGAGCCCCCTGGAGCTGGAGATGACAGAACATGGGGAAGCAGTGTCCACCCAGTGCTGGGGACACTGGGGGACCGGAGAGCAAAGATGTCCTGGTGCTGCTGTGACGAGTCCTGACTTGGAAAGCACCCTGACAGGCGCGTCATTCCTACCCGCAGGACAGCCACCAGGCAGGGCTCTGCACAGAGCAGTGAGACCCGAGACTTTGTGTACTGGGTCAAAGATAGGCCAGAGGACACTGTGGCAACTGGCTCAAGGCCATCACCCCCAACCCAAGCCCCGGGTGATCTGGAAAAACTAAGCTTAGGGACTCTGCTGTCACTGGCATCTGGCTTTTCTTCTGGCTTCCTCTAGTGAGAGGCTCCTGCTGGGCTGGCTGCCATGGGAGTCCGGGCTGTGGCTAATTCCCTTCCGGGAAGGCTCCCCAACACCTCTACCTTCTCTGCACATGGGACCCCCCAGTGGTCTCACCCAACTGTCAGTGAGCCTCAGTCCCATAGGAAGAGGAGACACAAACATGTCACCAGTCTCAGTGCACCCCTGCCCCTCTACCCAGATATATCTCCACAGCCTCCTGTCCCAGGGCCCGAGAGTCCAGGGTCCCTCTTGTGGGGTAACTTCTGGGGGAACTGCATGGACCAGGGTGCATGCAGGCAAGGCGTGCCCTGAGTGGGGCGGGGCGGGGCTCACCTTGAGCACGTGGTACCAGGCAGAGGCTCCCCCAGAGTCGATGTGGAAGTCTGTGTAGCTGTCCTTCACACAGATCAGGCAGTACTTGGTCACTTTGGGCTTGGCCAGCAGAGCGTCATCAGGCCAATAGTTTTCTACCCAGGACAGTTTCTTCACAATGTCAGGCGGCTCCACGAAGCTGGACATTCTGGGGGCAGGAGAAGAGAGTCAGTGGTGATGGGAACCAGTGCTTCTGTTTTTTTTTAAGCTTGGGGCAGGCAAGGAGCATGTCACCCACTGTTTCACCAGCCCATGGGCCACGTGGCATTGCTCCCATTTCACGGACAGGCAAACTGAAGATGGCAGAGGGTGAATTGAGCCCACTGGCTGTGGCCACGCAGGCCAAGAATGCTGTTCTCCACATGCAGAAGAGGGGGAGGAGAAGGCCTGGGAACCCACCACCCCAGGAGGAGAACCCCTTCCCAGAGGAACTGGAAAGCCGGCCACTACTCCACGTCAGCCCACATCCATGTTCCTAAAAGGGCCTGAGGGTCCAGGTTTCTCACCAGCAACCCTCCCTGCACACCAGGGCACAGTCAGATCCCGCTTACTCATACCCATGGGGTGTGGGGGAAGGTGAAGAGAGCCTTGATTCCATTGAATGTCAATGTCTTGCATAAACTGCATAATACTGCGTCAAAATGTCAAGGCCAGCAGCAACTGGATGGTGACATTTTGGCCACCCTGGAGAACCAGGTCTTGGAGCTTTTTAACTGCCTCAGGCTATACAGGGTTCTCCTGTCCCCTTTGCTCCATCTGAAGTTCCTTCCCAGCCCCCCACATCCCCATCTCCACCTCAGTGTGAAGCCACGCGCACTCTGATGACATCCTCTTTAAACAAAGGCTGGACTTTCCCACACCACAAGTCGCACTCAGTCACCCCTCACAGTCTCCATTCCCAGCCTCCTCCCACTTCCTCAATGTGGTTGGTCTAGATGTCTGCCTGGTGACCACCTCCCCATGGGAGAGTGGCATACAACACGCTTGACTGGCCCTGGTGGCCTCTCTACTGGTCTGGACTATGCACGTCTGCTACCACGATCACCTCTTGGTGACAGTGTGACTCTGTGGAGCCCAGGCCTGCCTGCTGGAAGCCACCAACTCCAACTCCACACAGGAAGCTGGCTGGAATTAGACCTGGACCCCTAAGGTCACTGGCTCTTGCCCCCTCTCTCCCCTCCAGTGCTCCCTGACCTCCATGTGTGACTCTTCTAAGCAGATGCTATAGCCCCGGGACCGAGAAGAAATAAAATCTTTATTTTCATCTGTGTTTCTCCTAATCAGTGGAAGGGAGTTCTCTTTTTTCTTTTTCTTTTCTTTTTTTTTTCCTACCAGGGATTGAGCCCAGGGGCATTTTACCACTGAGCCACATCCCGTTGCTTAGGGTCTCACTTTCGCGGAGGCTGGCTTTGAACTCACGATCCTCCTGCCTCAGTCTCCTGAGTTTCTGGGATTACGGGTGTGTACCATCGCACCCAGCAAGTTCTCTATCTTAAAGACCCTAAATCAAAACACTGCCACAATCCCAAGCCTGGTCCTGCCACCCTGGCCTCAACAGTTTCAGCCACAGACCCTCACCCTTAAATCTCCAGCAACCTTCTCATGACCACCCCCCATGAGAGTTCTCAGGTCCCCAGTCCGTGCCCTGAGCATACTGCTGCACTCAGGAGGGGGTCCCTGGCCTGTAAGAGGGTTCCCTGCCCCCAGTGAAAGGTGCTGCCTGCAGGAAAGGGTCCCTGCTTCGGCAACCTGGGTCTTCCTCATTAGGATCTGGCTTGGCCTTTCGCACAGGGCACACTGGAAGTGCCTGCTGACTCCACGTCCTGACACAGCCCAGAAGTCCTCTCTTTGGCTTGGCCCCTCGGGTATCCAGTCGGCCCTTCCTCTGAGCTGGAGAGGATCCCAGCGCTCCTGTGGGCCCCCGAGGCTGCCGTGGTGTGAGGCATGCGCTTAGAGGACAGGCAGCTGGCCCACGGCACTCAACCCACTGCACCATGGGCATCTGGAGGGGTGGTGCACACTGGTCACCGCAGGCCCTGAGGGCTGCCCCAGATGCCCGTGGGCTTGGGCCTCATCTTGGTGGCCTGGCCAACCTCTGGAGGATGACTGGCCAGCCAGACATGGCACACTGCTGCCCTCCCAGTCTTGCCGCAGCCCTGGCCCACACCAGGAGAACACTCAGGTGCACAAGTGCTCGATAAGAGCCTCAGACTGCGCCTGGGGACACAGGTGGCAAAACACGTCCCTGAGAGGCCCAAGAAGAAGCTGCAGGCCAAAGCACCATCTAGTTCTGTCTGTTACCAGGTGTCTCTGGGGAAGGACCCCAAGAGCAGGCTGGAGAAATGACTCAGTGTGTCCCAGGGACCAACGCAACACACGCTCCGAGTGCAGCCTTGGGAAGAGTCTCATACAGGCAGCTGCCCTCTCTGTGACCAAAGGCCACCCCTTTGTGCCTTTGCTGTCAGGAGGCTCAAACCAAACCCAGTGTCCAGTCCCCTTCCTTCTGTGGCCCTGGGTCCAGGCCTGTATTCTTCCTTGGTGTGGTTTTCTTTGATTTTTCCCCACGTCCTATATGCACATGGGTCACCTCAGGTGCTTTTTGGAAGCAGACATGGTGGGAATGATGCAAGAATAAAATCCCTCCTAGCCACTCCTGCCCATGGTGACGGGTGTTCCAGGTCTTTCCCAAGGGGCCAGCTGGAGGGCAGTGGAACTGAGGGTGGGGGGTGGGCAGGGCAGGCTCTGAACACGGCCAAGTACACAGTCCTGGAGGCGAGCAGGGTCCTAAGGAGAGGACGGAGGCCGCATGTGACCAGCTCAGTGGCTCTGGGCTGGGGACTGCGTGGCCCGAGGACTGTGTGCAGCTCCTGCCCAGCAAGGAGGCCCTGGGTTCCAGCCCCAGCGTCTCCAACAAAACCAAAACCACTACCTGGAACTCTGGAACCGTGGGACCTCATCATCTAAGCAGCGAGGGGAGCCAGGCCTGGGGAGGCAGGGTGCAGGGTAGGTGAGCAGTGGGACTTCCTGTGAATGCAAGTGTCTGCGTATGTATTTGAAGGTGTAAGTGTGCCAGGGATGCGTAGTGGGTGTGTCAATGGGTGAGTGTGACAGTGATTCAGCATCTCAGTGACATACGGGTAGACATGTGGTGAGCGTGCCTGTGGTTGTGTGTGTGTCATGAGTGTGTTGGTGAGCGTGTCATACATTGGCGTGTCAGGAGTGTGTCACTGTGTTCATCCTGGAAGAGACCACTCCACACCTCACCAAGGGTCCCTGGCCGGGGAGGGGCCTCCTCTGCTTGCTCTCTCATCCACACTTGAAAAGAGAAACAGGAAGAACCAGCATGTGCCGCGGCCAGCACGTCACACTCCCGTGACGTTTGCCCCGCAGCAGGGGTCGGAACCCAAGGCAGGCCCCTCTAGCCCCCACTTCCAGGGTGGCCCGGTCACCTGGTGTCAGAGAACTCGAGGTTGGTGACGTTGAGGACCCGCTTGCGGTTGGTGCTGTAGTAATAGTCCACGAACTCCTTCAGCTTCATCTTGCAGTCCTTCTGCTTGGTGACGTCGGTCACGTCCACGCTCCGCTCTGGCCCTGGGAAGCCGCAGGAGGACATGAGAACACCAAGGAAGTGATGTGGCCTCCCTTGAACTCAGGGTGGACACACACCCTCGGTGCCTCGCATGTGGCGTGGGTGGGCCTGGCCCTGAGGCTCTGGGTGCTGAACACTCCTGCCTGCCATTCCCCTGGATTCAAAGTGCCCAGCGCTCCCTTCCCCCTGTCACAGGACCCAGAGACGCTGTGAGGTGGTGAACGTTGGGCCTCAGGCAGGGCAGCCAGGTCCCCTGGTGAGCATGCAGATGCCGAGTCAACTTGCATCTCAGACCGACAGTGCGTTTCAGTGTAAGCACACCCTGAACGCCACTCGGGGCACGTTAGTTCTGGACTTTAAGGACTAAGAAGTCAAAACCCTTCAGTTGGAGGGCCATGCCAAGGTTTGGATAAGTGTCCCCCAAGGCCCATGAGGTTTGGTCCTCAGCCTGTGGTGCCACTGGGAGATGGCAGAACCTCTAAAAGAAGGAGCCTTGTGAGAGGTCCTTAGGTCATGCCCTTGAAGAGGACTATGGGACTCTGGTCCTTCCTTCTTCCTCTTTTCCTGCTTGTTCTACCCACCGTGACCTGGCACACTCATCAGAGGTCCAAAGCTATGGGACCAAACCAAAATAAACTGTTAGGGTTAGATGTGGTGTCCCCAAAAGCTCACGTGAGAGGCCACACAAGAAGGTTCAGAGGAAAAACGATTGGGTTGTAAGAGTCTTAACCTGATAGGAATTAACTGAGTGGTAACTGAAGTGGTGGGGTGTGGCTGGGGGAGGTGGGAATTGGGGAGTGGCTGGAGGAGGTGGGAATGGGGTGTGGCTGGAGGAGGTGGGAATTGGGAGGTGGCTGGAGGAGGTGGGAATGGGGTGTGGCTGGAGGAGGTGGGAATGGGGTGTGGCTGGAGGAGGTGGGAATTGGGGGATGGCTGGAGGAGGTGGGAATTTGGGGTGGCTGCAGGAGGTGGGAATTGGGGGGTGGCTGCAGGAGGTGGGAATGGGGTGTGGCTGGAGGAGGTGGGAATTGGGGGGTGGCTGGAGGAGGTGGGAATTTGGGGTGGCTGCAGGAGGTGGGAATTGGGGGGTGGCTGCAGGAGGTGGGAATTGGGGGGTGGCTGCAGGAGGTGGGAATTGGGAGGTGGCTGCAGGAGGTGGGAATTGGGAGGTGGCTGCAGGAGGTGGGAATTGGGAGGTGGCTGCAGGAGGTGGGAATTGGGGGGTGGCTGCAGGAGGTGGGAATGGGGTGTGGCTGGAGGAGGTGGGAATTGGGGGGTGGCTGGAGGAGGTGGGAATTTGGGGTGGCTGCAGGAGGTGGGAATTGGGGGGTGGCTGCAGGAGGTGGGAATTGGGGGGTGGCTGCAGGAGGTGGGAATTGGGAGGTGGCTGGAGGAGGTGGGAATTGGGAGGTGGCTGCAGGAGGTGGGAATTGGGAGGTGGCTGCAGGAGGTGGGAATTGGGGGGTGGCTTTGGGGATATATTTGCATCTGCCAGTGGAGTTTCTCTCTCTGCTTTCTGATCACCATGAAAGCCACTCCCCTCTGCCACACTCTTCCGCCATGTTGTTCCTGCCTCACCTGGGGCCCTGAAGAATGGAGCCAGCTGTCGATGGATTGAGACCTCCGAAAGTGTGGGCCCTCAAATAAACTCTTCCTCCTCTACAGTTGTGCAGGCAAGGTCATTTAGTCACAGCTGCCAAAAAGCTGACTAAAACATAAACCTTTTTCCTTTTTAAGTTATTGCTCAGGCATTTTGTTCTAGTGACAGCTGACTAATATAGGTACTTCACTATTCTAAAAATCAATCAATTGAAAAATTAGGGGAAAAACATTGATCCTGCCTTTTCTGAGGTTGTGATGGAGTTTCTATCTTTTAAAGGTTCCACCATCTCCCAACAGTGCCACAGGCTGGGGACCAAGTCTTTAATACATGAGCCTTTGGGGGACATTGATATAAACCATAGCAGTGTTCCCAGAGTGCAGGATTCCTGACTTTCTAATTTCTAAAGTGTAGGTGTGTGCCATGTCTTCTCCAGGATTACCAGATAACTGAAGAGGAAAAGTTCTTTATGGAAGATCCATGATCAAGAGAGGGAGGAAAACAGAAGGAACTAGCAAGCTGGCCCCTTGCCAGGGCACAGTGGATAGTTGGAAGCGAGCTGAAGGCCACTGGGGGGACCTCCAGGGTAGCATCACCAGAGGTGTACGGCAGGTTACAGGTGTCCTCACAGATGGCGGCACACCCATCCAGAAGGAGATGTGCCCAGCCTGAGCTCCATCTCCACAGGACCCTGAGCCTGAGTTTACAGGAAGCACCAGGGACAGAGAGACCCAGTGAGCCACGCCACAGGGACACTGACCACCAACTCCCAGATGTGAGAAGTTCTGCCGACCCACAACCCCTTTCTCCAATAAACCAAAACAATGGGAGCGGGTAGGAGCCATCAGAGAGGAGAAGAGACTTCGAGGGCACAAAAATGCAAGGCACCGTGTGGATGTTGTTTGAATTCGGATGCCAACAGCCAAACGGAAGGAGGCTCTTTGGAGGGAACTGGGGAGAACTAACGTGGGTCTTCAATGCTATTGAGGAATTATCATTAGCACTACGGAGTGTGAGGATGAAATTGTGATTACACATTTTTAAAAACCTGTTACAGCCACGCACTGAAGTTTTTATGGGCAAAAAGATGTATGTGGAGATTTGCTTTAAAACCCTCCAGTGATGAGGAGAGTGGGGTTGGCAGAAAATGAACAGAAATCTGGGGGCTCGTGGCCAGTGCCAGGTGCACAGGGCTCGCTGTCACTTTGGATGTGTTTTTAAAAAATTCCACAATTTTTTTTTTTTAATTAAGGGGAAAAGAAAGACTGTAGGAAGCAATAAATACCACTAAGGACCACTTCTTCCTGCCCCCGCAGGGACACCCATGGAGGGGCCAGGGCCCTTGTGGGTCCACACTTCTCAGGGCTGCCAGCAGGATGAAAGCTGCTCCTACGTGGGAGGAGCCTGGACAGGGCCTGGTGCTGGACAGTGCGCACTGGATACTGGCGCTCCCACTGCGCTCCATGCCTAGCAGGACAGCCAGGCCTGGTGTTAGAAAGAGGAAGGCGGCCCTGACAGGCAGACTGGCCTCCTGTGCCTGGTAGGACAAATACGCCCAGAGACGGCCAAGACGAGGCCACTCTCCAGCCTGGTGGAGCAAGGCGGCTGTGAACTGCCAATGTCCCTGTCTATGCATGGCTGCGTACACAGTGACCCAGTGGCCCGCTGTCTGCCCTCCCTCTTGAGGAGGACTGCACAGAATAAGCCTCTTCCACAGACCCCAAAACCGCCAACCGGCAGCCAGGGAGGAGGCCTCCCTGACCCCTCTCTGAGACTCCCCTGCGGCTCCCTCGGGGCCTGTTCTTCTCCCTGCGTGAATCTGAGGGCCCGTCCTGGGAAGCCCCAGTGTGCACATGGGGCCCCTGTCCACTGCCAAAATGGAACGTGGCAGCTTCCTGGGGGTGCTTCCGTGTGCCTGGTGGCTTTCACAGATGATCTCACTTTAGCCCCCAACACCCCTGACCGTGGGCTTCACAGACGTCAAGGTCAGAGCGAAGGAACTGCTGGGCTGCAGGGCCTCGCCCACACCCACACCCTTTCCCATGCTGGGTGCTGTGTTTCCAGGATTTCTCCTCCTTCCCCACCAGCCATTCCCAGGACCCCCCTCCCATGAACACCTGAGTCCAGCAACCGAGGAGCCCATCCTGCCAGAGTCACCCCAGGTGTGCTGCCTCATGTCTGCCACACAGACACCCTCCTCCACCTGCACATGCCCTGACAGAGTGTCACAAGCTGCAGCTATATATGGACACGCAAGGCAGCTGCCACCCGCATCAGCAGGAACTAGCAGCATCCAGGAGAGGTAGGTGGCCCTGGCACTGGGGAAGCAGGTCATGGCGTAGGGAAAGCAGGCCTGGACCCAGCTGGCAGCCAGGGCAGGGAGGGACCCAAGTTCCCACCACCTGATACCCAGCAACAGTGGGATTCAAGACTGGGAGAATCAGGGGGCCCCCGACCAGCCCCATTTTGTAGCCAGGGTCATGCGGAAGGAACTGGGCCTGCCAGGCTCCTCTGTCCAAGATGTGTCCACGGTGCTGGGGAGGTCAGGCAGTGGATGACCCCAATGCCTCACAACTTTAGACCCCCATGAGATGGGAAGGGGACAGCACTTACCCACATAGTTCTCAACGTCACTGACATAGAACGTGGGGGCGGGGACAGCCAGGCCCAGCCCATCTTTCTTAGGGACAAGGATGGGTTCAGTGAAGCCATGTTCCTCCATGTAACCCAGGGTGAGCTGGCTGCCGGGCACACGGGACACCACATCTTCAGCACTGCAGGGGAAGGGCAGGTCAGAGGCCCTGTCACAGCTGCCAGCACCAGACAGGTCTGGACAGGGCCCCGGCAGGAGAGGCCAAGCACCTCTCTGGGGCCACCAGCGCAGTCACAGGCAGACACGGTGCCAGCTCTTGTACCCCCACCACCAGGTACCCTGCTCCCATCATTGAGATCAGGGCCCATGGTGACAAGGGACACTGAGGCTGCCACATCCCTGCATACCACTGCCCTTCCTGTTATCCCCACAGCCTGGGGGGTCCCCCTCTGACTGCCCAGCTCCAGCCCAAAGGGTGAGGACAAGAGCAGGTTCTCCCACGGCCTCTGGGTGGCCTGGGCCAGGAGGCCCCAACAGGATGAGCCACACAGGAGTAGTGTCCAGGGAGAGCTCCATCAAGCAGGACTAGTGAGCCCCGGCCTGAAGCCCATTCCCACCTCCCACCATAGCCCTGGGACAAGGTGTGATAACACAATGCTTTGGGACCACCACCTCCTCGCCCTGGTCTGGGACCCCTCACCAGAGCCTGGGAGCTGCCCAGTGGGGCCACACAGAAGGCACTCGCAGCCTCTCCCTCACCCGCCTTGGGACCTGGTTTCCCCATCACCTTGACAGGACTTGCCCAGCTCCAGGCAGCCGGACTCAACCCAGCTAAAATAGTGGCCACCAGGGTCAGCACTGACAAGGGAAGGAGCCACCAAAACGGTGGACAGAGTCCGTGACCCCAGAAGGGACCCAGAAGAGGCTCCATGGCTGGGAGGGCCTTGAACAAAGCCCCACAGGGAGGCGGCTGTAAAAATCAGGCCTCTTCCACCTCCTACACTGCCCAGCCCCATCTGCCCCACACTCCTGGCCCAGAAAAGGTGGCAAGGCCAGGACCAGGCATCCACCCGGATGGCCACTGTGACCTTCACAAGGGTATCCAATCCTGGCCTGCCCCCTACTGGACACTGCTGCCACCACACGGCCAGAGGCATGAGGAGATCCACAGGCAGAGGGGTCCAATGACAGTCTCAGAGCCTGGACAGGCCCTGACAATCTTCCAGGGGAAGCGGGAGCCCAAAGAGCATGTGGGTTCCTCGGCCACCACACCGTGGATGCCTTCCCCACCCCACCCCTGTGTGTGGGCACTGTCCTGGGTCCAGGCTGTGCTGGAGGAGCCCCTGTTGGAGATCCTGAGAACAGGCTCCATCGGAGACAGCAGCAATCAGGCAGAGGCCTGAAGGGGCCTAAGGAGTGGGGACAGAAGTTGCATCATCAAGGCCTCGGGGCGTAGAGGAGAGGGCAGGTGTGAGGAAAGACAGGGGGCTGGGGACTGGAGGGCCCGTCCACCTGGCCAGGGCTCGTGTTGCAGGCACAGAGCGTGGACAAGTTTCAGCAGGGTGGTGACAGCCTGCGGTTCTGTACACTGCTGGGGGGACAGGGGACTACAGCAGAACCAAGACAGGAGCAGGAGGAGGCTCAGGACCTCAGCGGGCGCCTGGATAGTGAGCAGGCGGGAACGAGGGGGCTCAGGAGATGCCAACGACCACTGCTCCATCACACAGGGGTGAGGGAAGAGGACGCGGCCAAGTGGGTGGCAGGGGACTGGTGGGAGAGGAGGGACCATGGAGAAGGGCCGGAGTGGGGAGCAAGGAGCAGACCTTGCTGAGCTGGGGACATGTTTGGTCTGAGGTGTGTGTCGGATCCTGCAGTGGAGCTACAGGTCAAGAGCTCAGAACAGCTAGAAGACGGAGACAGGTGTGGAGCCTCAGGGCGGGGCCAGGAACAGAGCCCCTGGCAGGTGATGCCACAGGGAGGGGAGTCAGCAGGAGAGAAAGCAGGTGGGGGAGGAAGACCCAAGAAAGCACAGGGCTCCAGTGAGAAGGGGGCGGCAGCCTCCAGTGTTGGGGGGTTGGTTGGTTGGTTGGTTTGTCTGGGTACTGGGGATTGATCCCAGGGGTGCTTAACCACTGAGTTACATCTGCAGCCTTTTTAATTTTTTGAGACAAGGTCTTGCTAAATTGTTTGGGGCCTCACTAAGTTGCAGAGGCTGGCTTTGAACTTGTGATCCTCCTGCCTCAGCCTCCCAAGTCACTGGAATTGCAGGTGTGTGCCACTGCTCCCGGCCCAGTTTTGCCCAGAAGTCAGTTAAGGTCAGGATGAAAGAGGGCCCACTGGCTGGACCACATGGTAACAGTGCTAAAGATAAACCAGCAGGAGTAAGAGGAAGGTGAGAAAGACGAAAATGTACGGAGACTGCTGTGGGGCGGCTGGGGAACACCAAGGTCACTCAAGGAAGCTTTGGAAGCCAAGAGAAATGTCTCCTCTACAGGGTCATAGGTGGAAAGCTGCCCTTGATAATCTAAACCTCTTTTATCACTGGGGAGAATTCCAAATTCACATTAATCCACAGAGCAGGAAGCCCAAATGGGATCTGGAGCTATGAAGTTCACGGGGTCACAGTAAACGGCACTTACAAAACCAAGTAGCAGCTTGGGACATGCCAGCGACCCTGGAAAACCACCCCTATGAAGATCCAAGCCCCACAGAAGCAAGTGAACACCAGGAGGGAGTCCACAGAGACACCAGGCAAGAGGAAATCCCAGGAACTGAGGGAAACAGAACGGCTAAAAAAGAAATTTTAAAACACATCCAACACATTACAAGTAGGAAAACGAAAGGATCTGGTAAAGAACAGGGAGTGTGAAAAAAGAACAGAAAAGGACACTGAAAAGGAACTTCATAGAAATTCTAAAAATAGAAATATGACTGAAATTTTCCAAGCCCAATGGATGCATTCAATGGCAATTTGCTGAACAGAAGAAAGTGAATTTGAAGAAAGATTTGAAAAATGACAAAGGTCATGTTGGAGAAATGCTACTGAAAGAGAAAATAGAATACTTTTCAGAATTCAGACATGACTTCTCAGATTAAAAATGTGTACAGAGTTCCAATCAGGATAAACAACAACAACAACAAAAAAAACCCGCAAACATAGAGTTGTCAGCGCCCACTACGGTACATCAAAGACCAGACTATCTTCAGTGTTTTCAAAGGAGCGGGGAAATACCACATTATTTACCAGGAAAAAAACAAAAACCCCAGCAATGAGACTGACAGCAGACATCATGAGCAACAAGAGATGTCAAAAGATCATAAAATAGTATCTTCAAGGACTAAAAGGAAAATAACTTTAACTCTAGAACTAGAGATCAATTTCAGGGTATTAGAATCATTCAAGAATAAGGATGAAATGAAAACACTATCAGACAGAAAGAGTCTATTTTTCATAGGCTTTTGCTAAAAGAAGTAGTAAAGGCTATTATTCAACAAGAGGGAAATCAAAACTAGAAGGAAGGAGTAGGATTCAAGAAACAATGGAGCCAGGCATTAGGAGCTTCTTAGGAGGCGGAGGCAGGAGGATCACAAGTTTGAGGCCAGCTTGGGCAACCTTGTGTGAACTTTTCTCAAAAGAAAAATAAAAGGGTGGGCATGTAGTTTAGTGGTAGAGTGTCCCTGGGTTCAATCCCCAGTGCTTGAGAGAGAGAGAGAGAGAGAGAGAGAGAGAGAGAGAGAGAGAGAGAAAGAAAATTTAAAAAAAAAAAAGAAGAAAGAAAAAACAAATGATGGAATGTTGATCTGCAGTCCATACAATTCCTACCAAAACGTGGAATGCTGAACGGAATGCAAGGCACCCGCAGGACACCTCGCAACTTCTAAATTCACTTCAAAGCTTATGACAATCAAGACCAGACAGCCCAAGCATAAGCAGAGACATGCAGAGCAATGGAACACAACAGAGAGTCCAGAAGTCAACCCTCACATCCATGGTGAAGTGCTTTTCCACCACAGTGCCAAGACAGACCAATGGGGAGAGGGCAGCCTTCTCAGTGAGAGGTGCTGGGACACTGGAGATCTACCTGCTGAAGAATGGCAGAGCCCCCACCTCAAAACATATACAAATTAAAGCAAAATGAGTCAAAGACCTAAGTAAAAAGCTGAGACTACAAAAACTGTAGAAGAGCAAAGCATAAATGCTCAAGATCTTGTATTAGGTGATGCTTTCACAGAAGTGGCACTAAAAGCACAAACCATAGAAAAATTGGACTTCACCAAAATCAAAACTTTAGTGCTTCAAAGGATACTATCAAGAAATCAAAAAGAGAACCTGTAGGATGGGGGAGAAAATCTGAAAAGGAATGAGTATCTGGAATATGTAAAGAGATTTTCCCCCCTTTGGGCCAGGAATTGAACCCATGGGCGCTCAGCCACTGAATCATATCCCCATCCCTTTTTTATTTTTGAGACAGGGTCTTGCTGAGTTGCTTAGGGGCTCCAAAGTTGCTGGGGCTGGCTTTCAATTCGAAATCCTGCCTCAGCCTCTGGAGCTGCTGGGATTACAGGCGTGTGCCACCACGCCCTGCTGGAATATGTAAAGAACTCCTACAACTTAATTATGAAAAGATAAATAACCCAATTAACGTGAGGTGCTTGGAACAGTGTGGAACTTGACTTCTGGTTTCAACTCCAACACACAAAGAGCTTGAAAGCTGACACTCCCATCCTCACAATAAAAAAGCCAGATAAACCAATGATCAACAACTTTTCTCAGATTCATCAGGGAACTGGGGTTACAGGACAAACAACCATCACCAAATCTGAGGAAACAGGAAAATAAAGAAAATCACAGGCAAGACTTGCCTCACTTGGAGCAGAAGCTGATGGGAATTTTAAATGGTAACCTTTTTGGACAAACAGCTGGAAGTTGAGTATAGACCAGCTTATGAGTTAAAAAGTCCCCACCCAGGGTGGTGGTGTGGGGGTGGGGGGGCATACTTTCATCAATTCAGAAACCACCAAGTACTCAAGGTCAAGATCCCTCTTAGCAGGGCACAGTGGCACTTGCCTGTAATCCCAGCAGCTTGGGAGGCTGAGAGTGGAGGATCTCAAATTCAAAGCCAGCCTAAGCAATTTAGCAAGGCCCTAAGAAACATAGTGAGACCCTCTCTAAATAAAAAA